GGGGGGGGGGTTATGAAAGCCGCGACCCTCACTAGTTGAATGCCTGACAGGCATCAAGCTCTGGGATCACGTGAATTGAATGAAATGCCTGAAGGGAGGATGACCTCTGGATATTCTGTAGGCGGCTACTTTGGTGCCACGGCTGACTTGGGCCGAGAACATCAAGTAAAAGGTGGAACCCGTAAGACACACCACACACTATCTACAATATTCTGGTTGAATTTGCCAGTAGTATATTTGAGGGCTGCTCTATCAAATACCAGATTTGGTGCTCTCACCATTTTACGATTGTACTAATTTTATACGGAATCATTCTAAATGTTTTTCTACATTTTCATTTATTTTGGTGTAATTTATGCCAAAACTGGGGATAATAAAATGTATTATCGTTTGTCTCACGATGCTGAACAGTATTAAATTTAAACAAACCCGGTAATTATATAAGTTAATTATGAAGAATTGTCTCTTTTACGTATAAAAAATCATTCTTACGTCCCTATTTGCTCTCGAAATTTGTTGTAGGAGTAAAATTAATTCAAAGAAATACGGCGAGCTCATTCCTAGAGGAGTATATACTTTCCTTAAGAGTGAAATGGTAGTCACAGGGTAGCTGCTGGTCTCACAGCTTTACTTTGCAATAACTCTGAGTGCGATAAGATTTCAAAGTTTCTTTGTATCAATTTCGATGAGTTCTGGTGAGTTTTCATTTCTAGTGATTTCTAAATCATTCAGGGTGTCCTCAGTCGGGTCCAGTCCGTCATTAGCGCGCCCGTTTTCTTGGCAAATGTCCGTAGCTTGAGTTGGGTTCCAAACGTACTCGTCAATTCCGTGCTCTACTTTGTCAGCTCCCAGAAGCTCCTCCTCCACGCTCATGCGCAGTCCAAAAACCTTATCGATCAATAGCAGCTCCAGAAATGTTGTACACGCAGCCCAGGCGGTCATAACGACAACCATGAGCAGTTGAACTCCCAAGAACCACCACGGACCGCCTTTGAGGATTCCAAACTCACTGGAGAACGTATCTTCCTTCTCGGCAAAGAGGCCGACGGCCAGTACACCCCAGACTCCTGCCATGCCATGTGTGGGCACGCAGCCGACAGGGTCATCAATTCCGAGCCGCTCGAGAAGAGCACATCCAGGGCAGGCTATGAGGGCACCTACTGCACCGATGACAATGGCTTCCCAAGGTCGGGACAGGGCACAAATGGCTGGAAAAAAAACATACGCACTAAAAACGAGTATATTTAAAAAAGGATTGACGTTTAATTGAAAAGGCAGAAGAAATGTTGTACTAATCATTTATGCTTCTCGCTCGGTTACTTAAACTCAAAGAGCGCATTGTCAAGGTGTAGCTCTGTTTAAGTACTCATAACTAAGAGTCCCGTATGTAACCTGACCCTTACTAGTCAAACATTAACTGGCGTAGCTAGCTGCATAAAATCATTTATTCTCTGTAAGAATAAATTTTCTTTTTGCATCGAATATCTAGCTGGTGAAATAATACCATAACACGATGTGTTACATGTACATTATTTAATTTACCTGTTATGCCGACGAGCCCGCTCAGAATTCCGGTTACAAAGATTGGAATATTTAACTTCTTTTTGAAGCAAATGTAACTGAGAAATAAAAATAAAGAATTTAAGTGTTTTTTTTTCTCGGGACAAAAATACAAAGACGAAGGGTGCACAGATATTAAAATGAGAGTAGTAATTCAGAGATAAGAAATTAGATTGTTTCGTAAATGGGAGAAATTGAATTAAAGGGAAGAGGCTAAACAGCAGGCACGGCTTGTTCGAAAGGTGGACAACGTTATCCACCGGATAAATCACTATCCAGCGGATAGCGTGGTTTGTTTTGTGAACACTTATCCGTTGGTTAGCGTTATCCACCTTTCGAACAACTGAGGCCTGGAAACGAGCTAAATAAATTATTTATGACAGGATGACAAACCATTTCGATGGGTTTTCTATTATAATGGCAGCACACGTATAATTTCACTGTCTTTGTTCCTTGAAAACCCCTGGGGTATAATTATTGGGAATACCCTCATGACATCAAAGCGTCTTGTCTTATGATCACTTATTTCAGTGATATGTAATTTGAGGTGGTTGAGAGTTAGACTGATGCTTCTCTCGGTCATGCGCTTGTCATAATGCCAGGGGGACTCCCATAAAAATAGGGCGGGGGGGGGGGCTCGTCGTACCTTTCAGGGGTTAAAAAAAAATGTGATTTTTGGTAGCTCTTAGGGTATTCAGCCTAAAAAGGTCCACAGCGGGAGCTTTTCTGTTCCTTTTAGGGTATTTAGCCGAGAAAAACATGGCAAAAAATAATGTGTTGTCTTAGAATTAGTACCTCGTAGGGGTAAAAAAAAATTAATGCCGCGCCCACAAAACAAAATCTTGATACCTTTAAGGGGTTCTTTTCAAAATTTCTGGCGAGCNAGGAATTGGAAAAGCTCCCGTTGTAGACCTTTTGAGACTGAACACCCTAAGAGGTAATAAAAACGTTTTTTTATCCTCTGAAAGGTATGACGAGCACCCCCGTCCTTTTTATAAAGGAGTCTCACCCGGTCATAATGTTGCGGGAGAGCTTTACTTTTAATAGGCGAATAAGTTCGTCGATTTCCAACAAGTAATGTTCCGAGTTCAAGTTCCTTTAAGAACTCTCTTCTTTAATGGTCTGTTAATTCAAAACTTCGCGCGAAAAGCCAATGCGGCTGCGCACTAAACCATTCAGCATACTTTCCTTCGAAGCCACACGCAGTGACGAAATACTTTTCTTTACCAAATTTCACCATCTTCCTTTTAGATGATTGGCCAAAATACAAAAAAAAGTGAAACACCAAAAATTAGTTTCCCTCCGCAGTTAAGTAAAGAATAAATAAATAAATGACATCATTGCTTGCATTTCTCTGCGAAACTTCAATCGCCGAGGGCAGGAATGTGTTGGAATAACGATAACAACAAGAAGAAGACATCACATCTTCTATCCACATTCGACGCACTTAAAAAGAAGTAAAAAGTATTTATATAAAAACTGTGTAAAAACTGTAAACCGCGGTATTAATATATTTTGCTTTTCGAGCCTCGTCAGTCGTCCGCCTTATTGAAAATTTGTAACACTATTTTTTTTCTGGCTAACTTACCTGTACAACATTCCCAGAATCCCTCCGCCTATGGAGCCATTGATAGTTACGACCGCTGACCTAAAAGGTAAGAGGCAGGAGTCAAGTGCCACAATTTTATTTTGAATGACGTTTCGAAAATCGTTTCATTTAACCGAGTGAAAGGTATAAAAAAGAACCAGCCCTATTACGCTTGGGGAAATCTTCTGACAAAATGTACTTGCAATGTAAAAACTCCGATTCAATAAGTTATAATTCTTGTCGTGGTTGTAAACGTTCAAAACGGAACAAATAAGAACAATGAACAGAATAGACCGTGTAGACAAGCTTAGCGGAAATTATACGCCGGTACCCTGGCTTATTATATGACTGAGAAAATTACTTTTCTGCGATTGGCTGAGAGCGCACAAACGTATCGTTAATTTTTCATTTTACTTGGCAATGCAAATAATACAGGCCCTTTCGTAATTATCAAAGACATAATAAATGAGTAAAGTGATGCGAAAAGCTCGAGCTATCAAGGCTTTACACTTTTCGTTGTATTTAAAAATTCTTTCAAAGTACACGAATCTCTAGGCGACTGGAAGTTTAAGATAAATTTTCAAATGTTAATTTCCTTGCGCAAAACTGTTTTAAATACCTGGAGGCAAGTATCCATTTCTTGCCGCTTATTCCAAACGTACTGCCACAATTAAAACCCAGCCAGCCCCACCATAACATGAAGGTTCCCAGCATTACATTTGTAGGAGAAGCCATTTGTTTTGATGGCGAATTTTCATCAAACCTTCCTATCCGGGGCTTCAACATTAAAGTCGCCACCAGGCCGCTCACTCCGCCAACTAAATGCACAGCGCCGGATCCGGCAACATCAACGGCGCCCATTTTCCGAAGCCAGCCACTGTCATCCCAAACCCAAAAAGCGGGAATGCAGTATGTCAGGGTGTTTAAGAATGAGAAAAGTGTGTAGGCTTTTAAGCTCGTTCTTTCCGCCATCGCGCCAGAAACAATGGTGGTTGCAGTCGTGGCGAAGGAGAGCTGAAAAAAGTACTTCGAAAACACCTGCCCCATTTCACTTTCCTCAGCATCCGTCAAAAAATATCCAAGGCCGCAGAAAGAATTTCTTTGCTCGCCTTTCCCGAAACTGAGTGCAAATCCAAAAAGCCAATAAGACAATCCACCGTAGACCACATCAACAGCGTTCTTGACCATGATGTTTGCTTCATTTTTTCTGGAGACCATTCCGGCTTCGAGAAGGCCAAATCCGGACTGCATTGTGAAAATGATGAATGCGCTCGTCAAAATCCATGTCGCGTCACCCGACAAGATTTCTCCATCAGTTTGGATTTCGTCGGAATACTCCTTTGTTGGTGTCATTGTTGAGTTTAATGTTAAGTTTGTTTTGATCTTGCTCGTTTACTTGGCGTGATCTCAGGGCATGGAAACGGCTTGGAAAGAGGAAAATTCTGTAATTGAATTCATCGTTTGTCTATAGTTGATCTAAACACCACCTTTCTTCCGTCATCCGCCCCGGATTTCCTGAGGTAAAAATAATAAGCATAATAAGCAGCTAACAAAAAGATTTCAAGCCGCTGATAAAATGAAAATATTAACTCAATTTGAATTATTTGAATTTGGGTAAAAAACGGACAGGTCCGCATTGCGTACAGATCATGACGGAATATAATGATACGCGAAGTTAACACGATAAACTAGAGAGTAAATTGATTTTTACAGCTAAGCAAAAATGCTCTACGGCATGTCCCAGACCAAACCCAAATATTGACACGAGGAAACATACCCTTGTCAAAGCAGAAATCGTAGCGAAATTCGCATTTCAGTCTGTCCTCTTTGCAAAAATTAATAAACTGCAGCCTCGTACATTGTTGATTTATACTTGAACATCTCGATTTGCATATGAAAATCACGCCAAATGTACTAACTTATTGCCTGCTTTTCAACACGCCAGAACGTTTTACAAAAACGCATGGAGTACATTGTACAGATCAATTCAAGGAACCTGATTATTTAACATATTTTTCATATGTTTTCGTTATTAACTATAATACACGATGCCTATTTTTACTTAATGTTTGGTGTTCTTGCTACCAAATGTCACCTCAAACGATGAAATATCGCAACAAGCAAAATGATTGCAGTAGTGAAACATAAAGAATAAATGTAAGAATAAATGTTTCAGACGATAACTTAAAGACAACTGTGCCTCGAAAAGCGCCGTTGCTTTCAGTTTTTTCTGCTCTTAATTTGTAACTGTTCAGAGCTTTCGCTTGCTTTGTCTTTTCAGACACATAATGTTGATTATTTCATTATAGTTGGTCGACCATAGGACTCAGATTGCTACAAAACGACTTAAAAACATTGTCATACACGAAGTTTGTCTTTTTCCCATAAATGTTTCTCTTCTTAACTTCATTGAGTGTTTTCGTAACACAGTGAAAGAAGTTTTAATTTTTTTTCGGAACGCATAATTATGATTAAAAACTTTCACAATGTTTTCTTGAAAGTAAACATAAATTGTGACAGTGTCAATCAAAATTATGTACAGTAAACCCTTGCAACAACTAGGGCAGATTAGTAAGGCTGATTTATACCAATGAACAAATAAACAACAAGTCTAAACAATTTCTCCTCTTGGGGGTGTCAACTGTTAACTTCTGCATTGTCAGTGTACAATGAGTTTCAGTTAACTTTTAAGAAAACGGCAAGGAATCAAAACCATAATCAAATCAAGTTTTCCTTTCCTTGCGGCATTGGAGTTAATAATGTTATGTTTCGTCGCCTCGTCGTCTCTCAGTTTGCTTTTATTGATCAACTTCGAAAAAAAAAAAAATTTCATAAAGGTTTGTGCTATTCATTTCAATTTCTGTTACAAGTGCACTGTAAATGATAATAACAATACTAGTGGCGGTGTTATTTGATCATTTAAATTACGTTTTAGAGAAAGAGAAATTTTTAAACACATGTTAGCAAAACGGACACCTGCTAACCTGTTTGTGGTCAGTTTAAACCGTTCTTGCTTTGTAGGTGTTAGTTCGGACAGTTAGGTTTTTTTTAATTATTTGCGAGTTGTTAGCTGTCGTTCAGCTCCAGTTGTCGGTGAATCCTTTAATTTAGGCTCCGTCCTCACTACGCCGGAGGAATTTGAAAACGCAGGTTTCACTCTGAAAACGCATCAAATGTTTTAATTTCTGTCCACACCAGGCCGGAGGAATTTAAAAACGTAACAATCACAATCGTTTTGGATTTGTCTTTAAGCAGGGAAATCACATGATTGTCATCGTTTTCGAAAGGCTCCGTTTAGCTGCGTTTTCAAGTCCTCCAGCGTAGTATGGACGCCGCTCTAGTGTTGCACTGTATGACCTTACTGTGTATAATTTCGCGTGCACTGGCAGTTAGCAATAGTGTGCGAGTAAAAATGTTCTCTCGGCCAAATTAAGAAACAGAAAGGTTACCTTGGCACGCAGATTTCCTGCAAAAACATTTGCTGCGGGAGAAAATTGTTTCAAAACGTCTCCGAAAATATCAAAAACATCCTTCTTCCGCAGGAAACATTGCGTGCAGGCACAAACGGGGAACATCCGGGAGACAATGTTTCCGCAGACAAATGGACAATTTAATTGATTTGTCATTAACGAAGATATTGTGACTTATCTTTAGCCTTGCAATTATCTATTGCAATTCTTGTCAAATAGAGGATAACTTTAAGTTGAGATAAAAGGGCTGTTATAAGGAAGCTAGCTAATTGTAACATCTTTATGGAGCAAGAACCTTTCAGATGATGTCTAACCATTTAACGATGTTTATTCTCGGTCAATTTCAGAAGGAAACTGACACGTGTTTACAACGGCTTCCGTTTTGCTCCAAGCTTCATATCACGAACAAACGGGGAAATATTTAGTGTGACAATGTTTCCGCGACAGCGTTTTTTCGTTTACGGGGGCGTCAAGAAATTTGATATGACTGCTTTTCCTTTTTTGGCGAGGTTTCTCAGAAGAGATAAATGGTCAATTTAATTGGTGTGCCGTAAACGAACTTATTGCGACTTATCTGAAGTCGTGCAGTTATCTTGATCCAATAAAACCACGTATGGCCGAATTTCCATTTCACAAGATAAATAGTCACTGGAGACGGGAACACGTAATTGTCACCTTGAGACTGGGAGCACGCAAAGACCAAATCGTTTCTGTGTCTTTTATCTACCTTTCTCGTTAGTGAAATACTTTAAAATGTTCCTGACGGTCGCCGGGTAAGGTAAATGTTTTTTAAACATTCTAGGTTTTACTTTCTCCCTACTATTTGTTTTGATCCCACGAAATGAGCAATAAACGGTTCACAGAAACTTATTATATTTACGAGTGTCACAAACCATTAACAACCATTATTCTTTCGTAGAAATGGTGAGCCATATCCCCTTTATTCCGAATACATTCTGAAATATCGCGTCGCAATGATCGTCCACAGAAAGCTTTGGAAAATAGACCAATTTCGACATATTAAAATTCAGCCTAACACAATAGACCTCAGGCTCTGGGGAATAAACCCCACAAACTCTGTAGTTATTCCCCAGAGCCTCGTGCTGAGGTCTATTGTTTTAGGCTGAATTTTAATATATCGAAATTGGTCTATTTCAATGCCAACTTTAATTTCAAGGACCTCAGGGCCGATTAGTTTTAGATTAAAATTGTTTTTAGGCTTAGCCTATCGTTCTAATTACAATTTTAAACAATTTTGCCCAATTACTACAGGATAGATTTTTATATTGCTATTTCAGTGAGATACGATTTAGCAGACCCCTTTCATGAACGCTGCTGCAACACAAATGTTCATTTTTCCCTTGGGACCATTTTCCTACGGCTAAATATTTGAAGAAGTGATAAACAGCTGTTAAAATTACTTCAGTTCCCTGATGATTAACATAGAAATTAACTAAAATGTTTCGTTTGTAATGTTCCTCTTTAGCTCAAGCTAAGTTTTCATTCAGGCAGACATTGCTAAAGTAACATCAGATATTTAACATCTATTTGCTAATCTATCCTTTTGAACTTCAAAAACGACAGTTAAAATCATAACAACTCAAGTACAATTTGCGAAAGTCAAGAAGTAACTTTCCACAAGTAGAGGTATCTGCAGCCAAGTGGAATTAAAATGCGCCAAAATGCAAAAAAGGCTTAAAAATATTTTTAGATATGTTTCGAACGTCACGGTACATTCAGTACGTTATGCAAACGTCACCAAAATTAAAAAAAGGGCTGGCTGAATTGTGATGCTTAATGGAGTATTTCATTTATCTGTTAACTTTGGAAACAAGGGAAGATTTCCTCCTAAAACGGAAAAAAATATGATACCAGGCAATTTGTTTATACCTCAGGTGCTAAGTAACGGGTAGAAACAAGCCGATTACCTTCACTCAGGCGGGCTTATTTTTTTAAAATTTTTATTCAAATCAGCTTTCTGGATAATTCTGGAACGAAATTACCCGATATTAAGTGTAAACAAGGAAAAAATTTGTTTTTCAATACAAAATCTACTCAATAGAAACTTCTTCAAAAAAAAAAATTAACAGTTCTTCATCTTTGCATGTTATAATTTACACTTGCTGAGGGAAGCGGGTTTTCTTATGTAAAATAGTTGATTCGAACAAATTGAGCCCAACTTTATTTTACAACATATTTGTTGATATAAGTTAGAATATATAAAATGAATTGTTTTTTTTTTCTTCAGGAAGAATGACATTTTTCTCAATGTTGATTGTTCAATATTATTGCTCTCATGGTTTGTTTTGTTTGAGCGAGTCACCAGCTAACATAAAGTTGGTCGTCCTGCCAGGGGCTTTTCTGATGCAAAGTCAGTTTCAAAGGAGAGGAAACAGAGAAATGAAAAGCGACCGACGGGCTATCTTTCTACTGCCAACAACAGCCACGGAAACCAAGAAAAAAGGTTAATCAATTAAGTCGCATACTGTTATCTCGATTCGCACTGAGATTGTAGACGGCGAAATAAAATAAATTAATGTTGGAAAACTTCCCTTAAAAGAGATCGCTTGGTGAATTTAAACGGTGTGGTAAAATAAATGGAAATCATTTGAAATGAATTTGTTTGTTAACACTGACGCATTACCAAAAATTGCACCATCATTTATGGTCTATAATGTATGCACAAAGGAGCGAAATGAGTCGAGCGCCCGCAGCTGGCAACAGGAGCTATGTAAAATTTTAAATATTGTTTATCTCCTACAAATGCCCCGTGGGCTTCAATTTCTGACTCGTCACCTAAGTCGAAGAGTGATTTTGTTAAAAATTGACAGGTTTATAGCTTACTTTTGGACACCGGCGGTGAAAATATCTTTCCACTCCAATATTTTGACGATTGTACATAAAACCGGCTGAGTTCAAGGATTAAAACACTTGAAAACGCCGACACAAGATAAAAATATATTTGTTACTAAAAAACGTCTGTTAGGATACTAAAAATATATACTTAAAATTAGAGACCTTCGTGAACTTACCTTATGCTTTGATATTAAGATGCCTTCTGAACATACGCTTCGAAATGCCGCGAACACCCTGCGCGCGGAAGTCCCTGTATTGTCTTTTCTGTGTCGGTAAAATTAAATACGTCTGCGCGCAGACTGGTAGTCAGATATGGTGCGTGTTTAGACTCACACGTCATTGTGACGTAATCAAAGGTAATTTGTTTACCAACCCTCGATAACAGGTTCCCTATTGTGATTCCCTTCGGTAGGCAGGTTACTGATTCTTCCTTTTACTGCAGGTGACAAAAGCTCGCATCCAAGAGCTCGCATTACCCTCGTAATGGGTAACGCGGGTTCTGGGAAGGAGATTGATAACGGTTCGGGGAGCCACCTTGACACGTACACGCAAACACGCGAACGCGACATTGCAAGCCGCGCATAAGTTTATGATTTTTTTTGCCGCATATAAGCGGAAAATAAACATAATGAATGAGCCTATTGAAAACGCGACTGGATGCTTTTCTAGCACAGCTAAATGCTTCAAATTTGGTTAACACAATCCTTTACCCAGTATCTTAACTTCCTGTTCACTATAGCCCACGTTCGATATCTTGATATTCTAACATGGCTCCGAGGCTTTCAGCACAAAACTGAAAATTATTTTTCAACATCATTTTGCTCCTTAATTCCCAAAAGAGACTTGGATACAAATATAGATGCTTTTCCTGAAAGCCTCGGAGCCATAATGGGATATTGATATATCGAACATGGCCTATTATAGAATGATAAATATTTTACCCTCCGCAAAACCGAATCGTCCTTAGTTTCCCCAGTTTTCTATAATGAGACAGCTATTTAATCTTAACCTCAATTTGTCAAAAATTGAGCTTACAAACAGGATGTAAAAGATCCGTGGAGAATCCGGGTATCGATCCCGGTACTTCCCGCATGCGAAGCGGGCGCTCTACCATTTGAGCTAATTCCCCGGAATACGTTTGCCTTTTGAAAGTTGTGACTGCAGTTGCTGTAACTACATAGATTTGAAGTAGTTCAATTTTTTTCGCTCAAACAGAGAAAACTGACTCAAAAGAACAGTAGAATTGTTAGCTAGTTCAGGCAAGGAAGCCTGTGTTCATGATTCAGGTAATGCAGTAAAGGTTGTCCTAAGAAGAGTTTGCTTAAAAAAAAAAGAGACGAACATCAGCTTTAAAAATGTTTTTAAATCTACGCATCATAAAAAATAAAAATAAATATAAATATTCGTGGTCCGTGTGAGGCTCGAACTCACGACCTTGGCGTTATCAGCACCACGCTCTGCCGACTGAGCTAACGGACCGCTTTTACGCAAGTGTTAAGATAAAAGGCAAATTAGTTTGTAATTTACTGCAGGACCGGAGTTTAAAACCCTACCCAATTCAAGACTAGACTGCAAAAACTCTATATCCTGTTTGAGACCAAAATAAGCAAACTCCATACCCTATTTCTGACCAAATGACGAAAAAAACCATACCCTTTTTCGCCAAACATATCTATATAGCCCATATAAGGAAGTACTCCCCCACCCCGGGTCAGATCCGTTATATATCGGGGACCGACCTTAGACATTTGTTCCAGTGAAGGAAGAGCAGCAAAAAATAGTTTTTGCGGAAAACTTAAGGACAATCTACTTAGGTTTCTACGGTAGGGTTCTGACAAAAAGCAAAAAAAAAAAAAAAGAAGAAAGAAAACAACGGCAACAACCGTGGAACAAATTAAAAATGAAACAATATTTCACTGATAGCAAATATCGTTTTTGTCACGAGATAAAAAAAATATGATTGGAGAATCCGGGTATCGATCCCGGTACCTCCCGCATGCTAAGCGGGCGCTCTCCCATTTGAGCTAATTCCCCACACGCAGTTTCCCTTCCTTTGGTTTCAAAATAATTGTTATATTACCTGTTCAGCAACTTCAGATAACGAATTTCTAAATAAGACAGATGATAATCTCTGCATCCGAACTCTAGAAATAAAAAAGAGAATCCAAACTTGGTTATTTCTCCCTTTCTATGGTTACATTATGGTTTGCGATCGAATTGTGGAATTGCTGTTGACCAATAGCCTTAGAGACTCGTATAATGAAAAGAAATGATAAGTTCTGCTGTCAGGTAGAGAAAAATAAGTATTGGTAATGGTCTGTATGAGGGTTGAACTCACGTCCTTCGCCCTTCGGTCGGCTCCTTTCAGTTCGTGGGTCGTTAACTTGGCCTTCCTCGGTCAGGAAAACAGAGAGTAAATGACCAAGGACCTTTCCTCTAGTGCCATGAAATAGCAGAGTGACTGTAGTACAGTGATCATGGGCAGGAGGTCATGACACTCTACCCCCGTAGGTAACAGTAACAGTAAAGAAATGAGGGAAAAAAGACCAGCCAAAGAAAAGAAAAGACCAAATGTGCCATGAGCAGCAGAAATGTTTTTGTTTTCCTTGGAGAATCCGGGTATCGATCCCGGTACCTCCCGCACTGCCTCGTCCCCAGTCGCCCGCGGGATAGTATGTTTAACTATGAGTATGAGTAGGGGCGCAGGGAATCACACCCTGCGCTCGTGCTCTTCACTCGCTACCAGCTCCCGCTCGCGCCCTTTTGCTCACTCCCAGTCTCCCAATCGCTCTCCGCGCTGAGAAAAAAATACGAAAAGCTTGTGGAGGAGGCAGCCTCCCGCATGCTAAGCAGGCCCTCCACCATTTGAGCTAATTCCCCGAAATACGTTTGCGATAAGAAAGTTGTGACTCCAGTTGCTCTAATGGAATAGATTTAAAGTAGCTCAATTTTCTGTTCAAACAGAGAATACTGACTCAAAAGAACAGGAGAATTGTAATCTAGTTCAGGCTGGGTAGCCTGTGTTCATTATTAAGTTAATACTCTCAGGGTTGTCCTTAGAAGAGTTTGCTGGAAAAAAAGAGAAGAAAGTCAGGTTTAAAATGATTTTGAATCCAAGTATCATAAAAATTATCAGACATTTTCGTGGTCCATGTGGGGGTCGAACTCACGACCTTGGCGTTATCAGCACCTCGCTCTGCCGACTGAACTAACGAACCAGTTGCTGTTACGCAACTGTTAAAATAAAAGCAAATTAGTTTGTAATCTACCGAAAAACCGGAATTTAAATGTTACCATCTAATTTTGACACAGAATGCCGGAGCGCTTGGCAGTTCGCTAGACTTCTTTAGGTATTTTATATCACCCGAAGTCATCAAACACAAGTCTCTTTCTCCGCTACCCTCAGCTGCTGGAGATAGAGAGTGAAGGACAAGGAACTTTGTTCCTGTGCCACTAGACAGCTGAGTGACTGTAGTACAGTGACTTTGTGTAGCATTTCATGGCACACAACCCGCGTTTTATGAGCAGATAAATGAGGAAAGAAGAACTGCAAAAAGAAAAGATGAGAAGAAAAAGTTGCCTTGGGAAGCATGGAGAATCCGGGTATCGATCTCGCTACTTCCCGCATGCAAAGCGGGCGCTCTACCATTTGAGCTAACCCCCCACATTTATCGATGAGATGAACGGGGAAAAGATTCTGAAAATGAAAACTGGTTTCATAATATCCTTGTGGAAGCCCAGCCAAGTATTGTTGATTTTAAAAACCCTGTCAATTAATGTCCTGATAAGACCGATTTTGTATGACAGAGGTACGAAACTAAGATGATTGGTGAGCAGACCCGTGAAGGTCTTCTTACGGAAGGTACTAGTGACAACGGAACCATGGTGGGTATTGTCGATTAAGACATCCAAAAAGGGCAAAACATGATCAATTTTTTTCTCCATCGTGAAGCGCATGTTCGGATGTTGACTATTGATATAGTCGAAAAATGCGATGGCGTCCTGTTCTGAGTGGAATAAACAAAACTTATTATCCACGTAACGACGATAAAATGGAACTTAAAGACCTTGATATTGCTCTAACCAGATCTTTCATGGTGACCCATAAAGAGATTGGCGAGGACGGGAGCTAGGGGTGAACCCATGGCAACCCCATCAATCTGGTAATAAAAGGAACCTTTGAACAAAAAGTGAGTTTCAGCAATAGCAAATGAAAAAAGACGTTTGAGATCGGAGGAGGTAAGCTTGAGGTCATGGTATCCCTCACTCAAATATGTAATCTATTTTTGTCGCTTAATCACAATTAATTATGCATGTTTCGCCTAGTTGTTATACAGTCCCAACGGTTTTTCAAATATTCTGTAACTGACGGTGATGTTAGTAACATCGAAACATGTCTTATAAATTAAAAAATGTCGTAATCTTCTTAAAAACATGAGAATTGTAAGCTAGTTCAGGCAGGGTAGCCCGGGTGTGCTCATAATTCAGGTAATACTCTCAGGGTTGTCCTTAAGGAGTTTGCAGAAAGAAAGGAGACGAACATCAGCTTTAAAATCTTTTTAAATCCACATATTAAAAATAATAAAAATAATTGTAGTGGTCCGTGTGAGGGTCGAACTCACGACCTTGGCGTTATCAGCACCACGCTCTACCGACTGAGCTAACGGACCAACTACTGATGCGCAAGTGGTAAAATAAAAGGCAAATTAGTTTGTAATCTACTGCGGGAGCGGAGTTTTAAATGCTACCATCTACGTTGGTGAAGAATGAGCACGTGGTAGTTTGCAAAACTCGTTTAGGTATTTCACACCGCTCGAGTCATCAGACACTCCAAGGTCGTCATCTTCGTCATCCACGGTTGCTGGAGATAGAGAGTGAACGACACAGACCTTTGACACATTTGTTCTAGTTGCCAGTAGATTGCAGAGTGACTAGAATACAGTGACTTTGTGCAGGAAGTCATGGCGCACTACCCGCGTTTTATCAGTTGACAGATAAATGAAGAAAAGAGAACTGCGAAAAGAAAAGTAAAGAAAAGAAAAGACCAAAAAAATGTTACCATGGGTAGCAAAAATCTAGATCTTGGAGAATCCGGGTATCGATCCCGGTACCTCCCGCACGCAAAGCGGGCGCTCTACCATTTGAGCTAATCCCCCGGAACATATCCCTTTTGAGAAACTTATGAGTGAAATTATAGAAATTGAGTAGATTCAGAGATTTACATGATCTTTATTACGTTATGTAGTAGATCATCATCTGATAGGTTAATCCATTTAACGA